TTCTTATATTTATCAGCAATATGATACAGAACCTCCATAACATCATCTGTAGGGCTGTTCAGCTCAAAGTATTCAACATAACTGGAATGAACAAATGTAAAAATAGTATTTGTAGTATGAATACAGTTGTAATAATATGTTAGTTGTATTACGCTCTTCATGCAACAAGGCTTCTAGGTTCCTCTACCCCTGGCCATTTGATTTGATTAATTCCATATTGGCGCATTTCAGGGGCTTTTATCGAGGGGCACTGGTTTGAAAAAGCTCTTCCTGGCATCTAAGTGCTTAATGTATTGTCCCTTGAACAAACCAAGTCCCCACTTCCTCTGGATCGGTAATTGAAAAAGTCTCCAAAGAGGCATCACATAAAGAGTGTTTGGTTTCATACCGTTGTTCATACATATTTTACTGTTAAAGAAACTTTTACTGTGGAATGCTTCTCCTGGGTGGAGAGAGACAACTGTAAATTGCTTTACCTAAGGACACAAGCGAAATGCACAGCTAGGCTTGAAACCTGATCCTAAGATTGAGAAGATCAACTACTGTGGCATATTAGGTTTTTTTTTTTTTTTTTAATTACTCTGTTAATTTTTAATGCTGAGGAAACCATAAACATGAGGAAAAGTAAGCTGAAATATCTTTATACCTGTAGAGTTCTTGTTTGTTGAGTGTGTACAGTAAGTAATCACAGATTATATCCACCCCAACCCGATGGTCTGGTATCGTTCCTAAATGAAAAAAAAAATAAAACAAACATCAGCCCGAGCTTTAGACAGGTGTATATTATCCATTCTTACATCTGGCTACTCCCCTAAGGCTCAGGGGTGGCGCAGAGCCAGACCCATTAGTCTGGTCAAGCCCACCCCACCATTGGCCAAAGCTCATCGGGCACCTGGACCAAAAAAAAAAAAAAAATAGGCCTAGTTTTTCCATCCCAGTACTGTACTAAGCCTAAGCCAAGCCAAATCTGTCTCAGCAATCGCTTCGTCTGAGTCTGATCAGGCCAGCAGAACATCTAGAAGTCCCAATTTTTTTGTTTTAAATCTTGTTTTGGGAGGAGGGGACACCCCCATCCCCGGCTCAGGCCTTCAAACCCCAAGATAACGCTTCGCGCTATAGTTTACACCCATAAATATTTAGGGCACCTCAGTCGGACATCTTGACCAACCAACTGAATGGTAAGAAGTCTTGAACCAGAGCCAATATGGAGCCTGTAGGTTGTGGTGAGCCTGTCTTAATCACTCAACCACTTGACTCAATAAAGCCTGGTTTCCATAAAATTGCTACACAGTGGCTACAGCGTTTTCACTGCAATCCTTGCAACGCTCCCTGATTCAAATGACCAATCAGCGCCGATAAATGAGTTAGCAATAGCGTGTAGCAATTTAATTAACCAGGCTTAACAATACTTACCACATACAGCAAGTTTCATTCCAACTTCTGGATGTTGAATCTTGGGAGTGAGGACACCTGGGGAGTCATACAGCCAAACTGTTGGTCTTTCATTGACCTGTGGAAGGATGTTAGAAATACTTTAACATTTTTAGATACAAGCCTTGTGAGATGGGGGTCGGCAACGGCAGGAGTCCCAAGTTCTGGGAGATCTGCACTGGCAGCAGTGGCGTAACTGCCACAGGTTCAGCAGGCTCGTTGAACCTGGGCCCCCGAACTCCAGAGTGGTAGATCCAGGAATTCAAAGTAGAGGGTCTAGAGCACCTCAGCCCCTCAATTGAATTCACCACTGATCTGGTTAATGAGCTTTCTTAACACATTTAATTATATTTTACTGTACTGTGTGATATCCATTTACTCATTTACCATATTTATTCAAATAAACAGGGCGTTTATTGTTGAGGAAGGGTTTTAAGGGAGGTATATATTTTTTGGTGTAAAATGGATATGTTTGTACTCAAATAAACGCCCCTTAATTTCACTGTAAATGTGAAACTGCAACACATAATTACCGTCAAAATGTGTTATTGCATGATCATAAAGACTTACTGATCTGAACCAGGTTTAGAAAAAACTTGATTCTACTAGAGTAGAACATTTATAGAATGTATCAAGAATGATATTTACAATCAATTGGGGTTGGGGTGGTGTGGATTTATTTGAGGATTTGAGTTCGGTGTTTATTCCAAAGAGGCTCTAGAGGGGGTGTTTATTCAAGGGGGGAATTTATTCAAAGCGGGGTGTTTATATGAATAAATACAGTATTTGTGAATAGATAAATGATCCTCACCAAACACAATACAGCATTAAAATGATATGTTCAACTGTGGCATGTCCAAATCTTTGGGAATCCGAATTACAATTCAGTTATCTCTACTGACTACAAGTATTTACTCTTAGGGATTTTCCAAGTAACTTTTTGGCTTTTTCCCATTGAGGCCTGTGGGCATGGCAGGTGCCCCAAAAGCCCCTTTGTTAATCTGGAACTGCCACCACTTGGGGTGGCCTTCAATTACAACAAAAAATTAATTGTCTATAAATATGGGTGAGACCAACTTTGTGCTACTATATTATTGTTACACTTTATCTCTTTCTATCTTTGAAATGAATTAAAGTACTGAATAGGCAATTAGGAAACTTACTCTTATTTTGTGTAAGACAGATTTGGTGACTCCTGGCATCTGTCCTATACTTGTTCCTTTTCCTGTAAGGTAAATAATACTGGTAAAAATTTTCAATACTGACATTAATACTTAATATTATTAATATTACTAACAATTAAACAACATCATTACTAATGATAATATAAATATGACATAACATTCCAGGGGTGGCACCAGTGGGGGCCGAGGGCCACAGACCCCCTATCGGGGAGTGCTGGCCTCTCCCCTCCCCCTGTCGGGGAGAAAAAGCACAATTCGTCGGGGAGAAAAAAAATTATATGTATTTTCTACATATTAGTAGACTCTAAAATCGATTAAATAAGCCTTTAATACCCCTAAATTGTTAAAATTTTTGGCCCCCCTGGACCACTTTCGAAACCTTTTAATCAAAGCTCGACCACGCCCACATTGCTTTCGTCAGGGAAATCTGACCCCTCGTCGGGGGCGTCGGGGACCTCTGCCCCACCATCGGGCAAATCCTGGCGCCACCCCTGTAACATTCCCTATTGTACATTTTAAATCCTACTGCTCTACTCATACACTCCAGTGAGGAGAGAGTTAAGAGACATATTAATTATATTTATATTTTCTTTTACTTACACAATTAATACTATTTTAACTTTTATTATTACTGCATTATTATTATTACTATCATCATTATAATTTAATATCATGGCTTGTTATTTGAAAAAGGCCGGTAAGCTAAAAAAAACCACCTAATTTTGTTTTGGTGAGTGATTATTTGGGGGGAAGGGGAAATTTAAGTTAGTCTGTTGAATAGCTTTACACACATAATTACTACTGAAATCATCAAAGTTGTGTTAGAGTTAAGCAATACAAAATACACCCCAGCAGAAAGTATTGCCACAGTATTTGGGGGTTTTTATAGATTTAAGGTGAGTGATATTTTTCACACCCCTGAAGAGGAGTTTAGTTGGGTGCAATTGCTCACCTCATATCGCAAGCCCAGTAATATTTTATTCCAAACTGTTTAGCATGTGATTTATAACTTTGTATCTGTATGTTATGCTGGGCCCTATTGGAGAACAGTACTCTGTAGTGAATAAGCCCCACCGGCTTAAAGAACAATAGAAAAAAAAAGAACGAAACAAAACTGAATGAATATCTTCAAATTCCAACCTCTGAACCAGATATTTTCAACTATACACCTTTAATAAAATATGTATATGTATAAGGTTATCTTTCAATCACCATTAAATACCCAACATACCTTTTTTAATATGTAGTCTCCTCATCGCATTGATCAAAGATGATTTACCAACATTAGGTATCCCTGTGCATAAAATGGAATATTCCACTTCATCTGTTCTATTGTACCTATCACAGGATTCAATAATTTCTACAATTTTTGGAATAATCTTTAAAAATAAAAAAAATGTTATAACAGGTGTTATCAAAGCACATGGTAAGGTCTCCCTCCAGAACAATCCTGTACAATCAGTATTTGTGGTAAAGACAAGCCAAACTAGTCACTCCTCGCAAATAATTTTTTTTATAGTTATTATTACTGGGTAAAACAGTAAAATGGAAGTTATAAAATGGTGAAAGAATCATTTAAATCTGATGTTCTGTTGAGAAGTTGAACCCACAGCTGCTTAAAGAACAGTATTTGAGAAATTGGCCTCTAAAGTTTTGGGGAATACTCAGGCAGAGGCCATCACCAAATCGTTAAACAGTTTTGTTTTAACGTTGAATATAGGGAAAATAACAAAATAGCATTATGTATAGATATATATAAAGGTTAGTTTAGAGCAATAAAATAGACTTAGAAAATTTTGCCATTTCAAAATTCAACACTAAAATAAAGCTTATATATTCATCTACAGTGTATTTAGATTTTGGCAGAAATAAGTTGAACCGGAGCAATTCGAATACAGAAAATTTTCACCTTTTTAGCTGAGCGACTGTGTTGAGTTAAGCATTCAGTATACATTACTTGATCAACGCCATCTTCCTCTTTCAGTTTTTTTACAACCATCTGTAAAAGAAAATAAACATATAATCTAAAGTAAGAAACATAGGAAACTAATCACCAATCAGCAACTTTCCTGATTAGTTCATCAGTTGATTAAAATGTACATGTTAATTAGGCTTTCTGGTAGCTTGTACAAACTTTGTCTCTTGTTATACTGTATTCTTATTTCTCATGATGTTTCAATTAAACCAAAACATATTTTTTTTTAAATGGCATTTCACAGGTGGAAGGTATAGACCACCTCAGTACTACCATCTTAGAGACTGATGTATGTAACTGTATGGCTATAGAAACTTTAGATGGCTTGAAATTACACACTGACATTAAAATTTGGGAAAAGTTTCCTTTTTTCTCCATTTTTTTTTTTTTAAATTTTCAAAATACTTAGAGGAGCCTTTGAATCCGCCTATAAAACTGACCATTATGACCGACAATGGAGTCAATTCCGCATTTAGTATGAGATGGTACTTACTCTAGTTATCCTTAAATCGGCAAGATCCATCTTATTCAGAATGAGTAAACTTGGCCGAACGCCCAACAATTCTTTTAGCATTGGATTCCTTCCTGCTAATGGGATGTTTATTTTTAATAGGAAATGTTCCAAGTAAGTTCTAGTACTCTGTCTCCACTATCAAATTGTATGTGCCAATATGTGTGATGTGTCCATATATAGTCATAACAATGTCATTTTACACCCAAATATGGACATGCTGTATCATCACATTTAATTGTCATATAAAATTTGATTGTAATAATAATAATATTGATAATAATAATAATGCTTCGGTGACTTATAATGTTTTAATGGTTGTTGTTTGATATCTTTTTTACATTGTAATTTTTATAGTTCATTATATTTGATCATTCTTTTAATTGTTTTACTGTATTTTAATTCGAGAACTGAATTTCCGACTTGGAGCAATAAAGTGTATCTTATCTTATCTTATCATGGGCATGCCACATCATACATGATATGCAGAACGAATTCCTGACTTTTGTGTATGGTGTGCTTATATCTAAGAAGCCCTCATAAGAATCTGATGACTTTATATGATGATGTAGTGTTCCACACTGTCATCCTGTGTGATGATTCTGACGTTGAGGGCAGGAGAGTGTGTGTCAACGTGAGTAACCACGAGCAAAGAGTATGTCTGTTCCGTTGAGTTATATTGCTTTGATAATATATTGTTTTTATATTGTCTTATTTATGATTACTCAACACCACAGACGGCTGCAAAACTATAACAAGGACTGTCACTGGGGAGGGGGTACAAAAATAGAAGAAGTGGAATGTACAGAGCCAATGTAGAATCAGTTCAAATTCAAATACTGGGCTAACCAGTACTAACCATAGATTGCTGGTTAGAATGTAAAATCACCTTTTAATTTTATAAACATACAACAAACAAATGGATCAGAAATGTTTATTTACTAATCATTTTATCTTTTTTTTTTTTTTTTTTTTAAAGAGATTACTGCTACTGTAGTATCCTACTGTTTTTCATTATCCATATTGTAGATGCACAGTAGCATCTATTATTATCTATCTTAAACCATAGTATGTTATGGTTTATGCACTGTAAGTTTTTGATGTAGTTAATTGGATGCATTTTAATGTCCCGATTTTATATTTAATGGAGATTATGTATACTGATTTTTTTTTTTTTGTCAATTTATATTTTTTATATATTGTATAGCACCTCTGAACATTTTAAATGGATATTGCTTGTGCTTTATGACAAATATTATTATTATTATTACTAGTATGTTACAGAGAACAATTAAAAAATGACTTAAAGGGGAAAAAACATGATGTTGAGAGGAAAATAACAAAAAAGATATTCCCCTTAAGTCCGATTAAGAGAAATTATTACTGTTATTATTATTATTATTATTATTATTATTATTATTATTATTATTATTATTATTAATAATGTATTGTTGATGACAATCATGATACTGTGGAAGGATATTCTTGCATCATGTACTTCAATTACTAAATCAACTTTCTTCAACATTGCCATCATCTTTTTCATTCCTGTAAAAGGTAGAAAAATGAAAGGATAATGGCATTATTAATATAACAACAGATCACATGAATAATCTGGTCCGGCATAGGTGATGAACCACCTATGCCAGACCAGGTAATTCACATGAATTTTTCAACTTTCTGTGAACATTGCTGTTGACCCAAAATGTAATCACCTCCTTCTTAGACCAATATATACCCCTTTCAAATTAAGGATAGATAGAATGATATGATAATACTGTTCTTTTATTACATGAATAGAAAGCAGTGTGATTTTTTAAGTATCAGGGGGTCCTAATGTCTCCAGCATGTTGTAGGAAGCCCCCGGAAAAAGGGATGGCCTCCCACAGCCGGACAAGGATCTCCAAAAAAACACACATCTCCTGCAAATTCATTAAATCTGCATGTGTTTACTACTGTGTTACCCCTTTACTATCATTTGTCTGATAGAAGCCAGTGTCGATTGGTATCACAATGAGTATAGCAAAACAAAATTAGATGGCAAAGAGAGCTTGAGAGCAGATCTCCCGGAAATTCCAATTCCAACTTCGGACCCCTGAAGTATACACGTGGCAGGTTTAGACGATTATGTACAAGTCTACATACCTTTGGCCATATGTGATGGAAACCAATGCGTAAGGTCTCTACTGCCAAATGCAAACATCTGACGGTATAATCTGCCGGACTGACTCATCTTGAAAAGGTACTTCCTACTTGTCAATACACATACATTTAGGTGAAAGAAGAAAGATTAATGAATAAATGATGTATCCCCTGCTTTGAGTCAGTGATCAGTGGCGGTGCAAGGATTTGTGCCACCATTGGTGAGGGAAGGGGGCTACGTTGATCAGCAAGGGGGAGTCTTATTGCTGACAACTGCCAGAGTCTTGGGGACAAGCCCTGGTTGAAGCCTAGAGGTTATGCCTAGAAAAGGTATGTGAAGGTTTTGAGTCGGTAAGGTTCGAATTGGAGAAGGGCATTTATTTCCCTAGCAATCAAAACGGAGGAATCTATATTAATAAATCCATGATCGGACTGCGGACACAACATTACAATTCAATTCAATTATTAATCTTCCTTGGAAGAGCCTGCAATCAATAACATATATACACAAAAATACATTAAAATGGTTTCAAAAAGTTAAGAATACTCAGTAGTGGATTCAAGGGGTAGGAAGGGGGAAGCAGTCCCCCTAATGTTTTCAACAAAAAAAACCACAGCCCAAACATGGCAGGGCTGAGGTAGTATAGATAGACTCTGGATCCGTCTGATACTATCTATCTGTATACAAAACATGCATTTTATTTTTGTAAATAATTCGAGAAGAAATTCTGTGGCATAGTCCTAATTGGGGGAAGGGCTGATGGTGAGTGGGGGAGAAGATGGAGTGGAATATTTATGGTAAGTGAGGATAACTAAGTTGCAAAATAGGGTGATTTATTTACTTGAGCATGATTTTTTGATTTGACATTTTTATTTGGGAGGGGGAGGGGGAGAAAGGTGAGCTTTCTTGGGGAAAGCGCACGATCCTGCCAGCACTGTACTGAAGAAACCGGCCTCACCAGGCCTAGACCTAATTACTATTATTAGCTCTCTCTCTCTATGGCTAGGCCTACGAGGCCTATGCTAAATTAGGGCCTAGGCATGAAGATAGAAAAAATAAAAAGGCTGGACGGACCACTCCCCCATCATCTGGCCCTCCCTGCTGGTCCCTATAATAACTGTTACCAGGGAGTTGTTATAGTGACAACTCCCTGCTGTTACCGATTTTATTTATAGATTGGTTGCCGTAGCCTAGCCCAGCCAGGCTACATAAAAAAGTAGGCCTAGCTAGTAGTAGTACTAGTAGTAGCACATGAGCAAGGGGCCCATAAGACGCACCCTTTGGTTGAATCTGGTTGAACAATATCGAACAACACTACGCCTAGGCCTCACAATACTCTCATACAGCAACCACCTCCTCGCCCGCGTGTTTGTTGTTTAGAATGTATCGCCGTAAGTTAAGAAGATACGACTTTCGGAATGGATGACCTCGCAGCAGGCGGAGCTAGGATGACAGAAGACACAAATCATGACGTAATGTCTGGCCGTTCTGATTGGCTTAGAACTTGAAAAGGGCTCAACTTACCTGTAGAAAAAAAAAACAAACAAACTCGCCACAGACCGGAAAACCACGTGGATAAACAAAGAGGAAGCTATCGTGATTCGGTTCGAACAACCTGTCTTTTTACGATCAAACAAAACGGGTTGAGATTGCGTAAGTAAAACTGTCAGAATTATGTGATAAGGCCTGGTATTATTACACTAAATATTTATACTAACTACTATCACAACAAAGATTGCCTGGTCCTAGCTAGGGGCCTAGGCCTAGCTGGCAATAGGCCAGGCCTAGGTAGCTAGTCTAAGTAGAGTAGTTAGTAGTAGTAGTAGGACCGCTTAGGCCTAGAAGGCCTAGTCTATAGACTATGGTATGTAGAAACTACATACCTATACCTATCTAGTATACACTAGGCTACTACTACTTGGCCTCCTCAGACAATTCCCTCCTAAAAAAAGTTCCTATAATAATAGGCACAGGTATAAAGTAACGTCTTATCCACAAGTAAAAAAGTTCCTAATAATAAGGACAAGTATATAAAAGTAATCCCACGTGACCTTTTCCACAATTTGTAAGCCAGAGGTAAACATTGCCCAATGGAGGAGACTGCTGACCATACTAAAGATTCCTTGAAACATTGGCCCTGGCAGAAACGCTGGCAGCGCACATTATGTAATATGTGAGTTTCATCCATGTGCTTTTGTATTTTCGGCACAAAAAAAAGAAAGATAGTTACCAGTTTTCTGAGTTTACACGCAATTGGCCTATCTTGGGAATTTTTCTTGCCTACCAAGTAGTGCACCGCCACTTCAGCCAAGGCCAACATAAACATTGCAAAGGTATATTCTGATCTTGGCGGCCTACCTCAACTCAATAAAACAATAAATACCAAATAGCAAGCACTCCTTTCGCGGACATTCATCTTTTGCCACCCCCTGGATCCGCTAATGAGATTAACTATATATTATTCCTTTTTGTTACTTTTTAAGTATACAGTAATTCTTTGTTTTCAGACTCAAAGGTCAAAAGAAGTTGCAGCTATGTTGGGACATGAAGAGAATTTGCATACAACTCAGAAAATTAAGGAAGAACCTGGTTAGTTCTATCATCGTTCTATTCTAGTGCCTCCTCAAAGGCCACTCATGTTTATCTTACAGGCCCTTACGATGGGTTGTGAATGGGGGTTCTTTTTCCAGGATAACGGACCAAACTTGGCTGGAGGAGGGCCCCAGATGCAGCCCTGCCGGTGGCCCTGGGCATTATTAACACTGTTTCAATGATATTTAAGGCTGTACTGTTAAGTGTTTTTAATGCAAATATTCTCAGTATTCAGGCCCATATTTAGGAATTTCAATGGGGGGGGGGGCTGTTCGGCTTGGGACTATGCGGAACTTCTTATCAAAACCCACATACTTCTTCTTCTCTGCCCTAAATGGGGACTTTATTCAGTGTGATAGGCCTCAGGCCCTTTTACAGTATAAATAAATATACATTTTTAGTGCTTTAAATAAGGCGAGACTTTTTTATACCTTGTTTAGCGAACCCTCCGATTCTAATTTTGACGGAACTCCATCTCCCGCGCTTGGTGCTGGCTTGCTAATTATGGATCTAATGAACAGGGGTAATATTATAACATCATTGCCAGTACCTTGTATCCCTTGGCAAAACTCATGGTATAAATCCCTAATTATTATTATTATTATTATTATTATTCATCAACATAATGCCAATGACTTTAAACCAAACAATTATGTCTAGTGCTTCTTTTATTTGCTTTTCAATGTGTCTACCTGGTAATAGTGAGAAATTAGGAGCTGTTCCCTATCGACCATCTTGGATTTGCCATCTCAGAGTAAAAAAAAAGTATTTCTCCCTTTTTCAAAATATTAGACTATAAACTCCTTTTTTTTTATTACTTGGCCTAAGATTGTAGAAAAATTGTACAATGCCTTTCCCAAAATAAACATGTAAATACAATAAAAATCATATACAAGATAATTCAGTATTTATCTTGAATTTTTACCATATCAGCTTTTTTTTCCAAGCTTTTTTACCACAAGCTTTCCATAATAATGAACTTCATCAAGTGTTAAATTCAATTTAGACTATCATTGTCAGAATTTAGAAATAGATCTCAAATATCATTATAACCAGAATTATTGAAGGGCAAATTTCAGTTTTGTGTTCTCTTCATAACAAATCAAAAGTGCAGAGAATTCAAATATAAATGGCTACTATGCATTTTTAATACACATAGTAATTCTGAAAGTTATTTTGGATCTGATATAGCCAAGGCCACCATACTGGAAACCAAGGAAGCAAGGCTTGTAGAAAGTCTGGTTTTACTTTAGAAGTAAACAAATAGTGTGGTTAGGGGGTTTACTGGCAACTTTAAGAATGCATTGTGTCGTCATTTGAAGTTGTAATATTTCAAACTTGTCAATTATCACATTTACCACCACTACACCACACAGAGCTCACATAATTAATTGACGGAAAAGCTACTGAATTATTTTCCGAAGAACATCGCCATAATGGACGGCTTATTCAAAAAAGTTGTCAATAATAGATTTTGTATATGCAATAAAACGATTCCCTTTAAGTACATTTTCAATATGACAATGGTCTGTGAAATAAATACACCCAGATATTTATTATGTGTCTACTTCTGTTATACCAAAATTTATTTTTATCAATACATTTGTCAATTAAGATGACATTTGATTTATTGTACATGAACTGTAGTTTCCAATTTTTGGCAAATTGACTTGACAGGTCTAGTATTTTAGCCATTTCATGTTCATTTTCTGCTATGAGGACAACATCATCAGCCCACAATATACCCCCCAACCTGGCCAAATGACATTAACTCTAAAATTATGGGATGAGGGAAGTTTGGCAAGCTCATTTATATGCATACAGAATAAAACAGGTAACAGTAAACAAACCTGTTTTGCTCCATGTTTGATATTAAATGGGTCTGGGACTCTGTACAAGTGTTACCAAATTTCACATGAGCTTGAACATTTTCATATTAAGAACACAACAATAATTTTCCAGATACGACCCCTAATGCATGAATCCCATGTTGCATTAAGGAGACCATCTCTCCAAGCTTGTCAAATGCTTTACAGAATTCCAGGAAGTATAAGTGAGTCGTTTTGCCTTCTTTACAATAACATGTGGAAATACTCAAATGTGTATCCTGGTCTAAAGCCTCCTTGAACTTCCGATAGGACATCTCCACTCTCAATACACAGTACAGTAGTGAGAAATATTCCGAGCAATACAGTAATTCTAACATCTAAACATTTTTATAGGCATGAAGTGAGAGAAATTTGTTGTTTAGTTGTTTTCGATACACATTCTTAAAAATGGAGACTATTATACTCATATCCATTTATTTGGTATTTTTTTGAACTGATTAAACTTAAAAAATCAATTACAGACTGTCCCTGGGGCCTTTTTATTGTGGTACTGCCTTTTACATTATCAGTATTAAATTGTATATCATACGTACCAGTACAATAATTTTCTTCATTCTTTTCATTCAATGAGCTGCTGTCATACAAATTCATATTTTATCTAATGATGCCCAGTATTGTATAACAGTTTGGGTTTTTGTCAGACACAATATCACTTGATTTTGGAACCCTTGTACAATCAACAGTCTACTTTGTGAATACTAACCTGAATAAACCGACAAATTGCCTATTCTTTCTCACACGTGAGAACACCCCTCGAAAAATAATAGACTATGCGACAGGCTCCCTTGTTTGCAGTATCAGCAGATTTCTTAACATTAATTTCTATAATTGCTATTATTTGCTTTACTGTAATCAATTATTTTGCATACATACTTTTGCTGATATGAAAGCCAAGGCAATTTCTTCTATCCTCATCATGGTCATTTACCCTTACACATTTCCTTTGAAATCTAGCAGCATTTTAAAAATCTTAAGCCTCACAAACTTGTTTGTCAAATGATGGTTTCCTTTTTCCCCTCATTTCCTTAAACCCAATACCCTCAGTTGCTTCTGATATGACAATATTAAAAATGAGTTTACTATACTGATAGAATTATGTCAACAAATTTTAGTACATTGTAAATTACGTCATCGTTGGCACCTTTTCTGCTGCTGTCGCCGCCATTGCCATACTACTGCTATTGCTACTTTTAGAGCAACTATTATTACTAATTTCTACCACTTCTTTGTATTGTTTGTAGGCCAGTGCAGTGTTTCTTACAGCCCTCAGGAATGTTCTATTAATTTATTGATTTTTCCATCGACAAAACCAAACTCTGAATCATTTTTTCCCCTAAAAGAAATGAATGACAAGGGACATGTGAACAGATGTATAGGAATGCAAGAATATGAGTTTGACAGTTTAAAGGAACATTTGGAAAATAACAACATGGACATAGAATATATATGTGGATGTTGTGGAAAGAATTTTGATTTAGTTTCATTGAGGACACATTTGGAAATTAAAACAGAAGAAGTCAAATTGGGAAAAAAAATTAAAATACATAAGAAAGAAATGTCATATGAATGTGATCAGTGTGGATTAAAATTTAATGACAATACCGATTTGAAAAGACATCTAAGGATACATATAGGAGAGAGACCACATGAATGTGAATATTGTGGGAAGAAGTTTAAAAAATGTTCTGATTTGAAAGAACATGAAAAGATACATACAGGAGAATCTACATATGAATGTGAACAGTGTGGAAAAAAATTCTACAGGAGTAGCCATTTAAAACAACATTTAATGACACATACAAAAGAGACTCCACATGAATGTGAACATTGTTGGAGGAAATTTAAATATTGTGGCAGTTTGAAGAGACATATAAAGATGCATACGGGAGAGAGACCATATGAATGTGAACATTGTGGAAATAAATTCAAATCAGCCAGCCATTTGAAAACACATATAAGGGTACATACTGGAGAGAGACCATATGAATGTGCACATTGTGGAAAGAAATTTACACAATGGACCAGTTTGAAAAGACATATAAGGATACATTCAGGAGAGAGACCATATGAATGTGAACATTGTGGAAAGAAATTCAAATTAGTTGGCCATTTGAAAACACATTTAACGGTACATTCAGGAGAGACTCCATATGAATGCGAATATTGTAAAAGGAAATTTAAATACAGGATAAATATGGAAAGACATTTAAGGATACATGGAGACACACCATTTGAATGTAAACATTGTGGTAGAAAATGTAAAAACAGTAGCTCTTTGAAAATACATTTAAGAATACATACAGGAGAGAATCCATATAAATGTGAACATTGTGGAAATAAATTCAAATGTAATGGTAGTTTAAAATTACATTTGAGGACACATACAGGAGAGAGTCCATATGAATGTGAACATTGTGGAAAGAAATTCAAATCAGCTAGCCCTTTGAAAAGGCATTTTAGGATACATTCAGGAGAGAGACCATATGAATGTGTACATTGTAGAAAGAAATTTAGACAATGTACCAATTTGAAAACACATTTAAAGATACATACAGCAGAGAGACAATATGAATGTGAACTTTGTGAAAAGAAATTTAAATACAGAAGAATTATGGAAAGACATTTAAGAAGACATGGAAATACCAGAACACCATTTGAATGTGAACATTGTGGGAGGAAATGTAAATACCATAGCTCTTTGAAAGTACATTTAAGGATACACACAAGAGAGAATCCATATGAATGTGAAAATTGTGGAAAGAAATTCAATTGCAGTGGTAACTTAAACCGACATTTAAGGACACATACTGGGGAGACGAGTTCCGGAGAAAAACCATATGATTGTGAACATTGTGGAAAGAAGTTCAAATTAGATAGCCAATTGAAAAGACATTTGAGGGTACATACAGGAGAGAGGCCATATGAATGTGTACATTGTGGAAAGACATTTTCTAGTAGTACTAATTTGAAAACACATCTAACAAAACATACAGGAGAGAGACCTTATGAATGTGAACATTGTGAAAAAAAATTTAAAAGCAGGAGCAATTTAAAACAACATTTGAAGATACACACAGGAGAGACTCCGTATGAATGTGAACATTGTGGAAGGAAATTCCACAGGAACGGCCATTTAAAACAACATTGGAGGACACATATACAGGAAGGACAGAATGTGAACATTGTGGGAGGAAATTCCAGAGGAACGGCCATTTAAAACAACATTGGAGGACACATATGCAGGAAGGACCGAATGTGAACAAGGTGGGAGGAAATTTAAACATTGTACTGTACCAATTTGAAAACACATATAAGGATACATCCAGGAGAGACTCCATGAATGTGAATATCGTGGAAAGTAATTTAAACAATTTGAAAACACTAAAGGATACATACCCGGAAGGCTCCTAATATGAATATTGTGGGAAGAAATTTTAAACAACGTGACAATTTGAAAATGCAAGTAAGGTTTAATGTAATACAGGAGAGTCCATGAATGTGAACATTGTGGAAAGAAATTCATTGACAATTTTAAATGTGACTTGAAAATCCATGCACATGAAAAGTGATATGAAAAAAAAATATCAAAGTTGAATACACATTTTTCTTTTATAGGAACACATTTTATTAAAAAAACACTTAGGCTGAATTTGCCTTAAAAGTAAGAACAAAATATTAAGAACAAATTGAGATTGAGTGAAGTAAAATGTCGAAAGAGGTTTTTTATTTCAAAATACAGTAATGAAAAAAACAACAAATTGTAGATGTACAGTAGTTTATTTGCATTAAGTGTGACCATAAATAGCCTTTTAATTAATACAAAGGCAATAATGTACTGCTGTACAATAATAATTTTCTAAGTTTGGAAAGTGTGTAAAAATCATTACTCTATTCATGCCATATTCATCCAATAGAAAGCTCAATATTTAATTCAAAAGGAATATTTGGTCATTAATATTGCATCATGAAATAATATTTGGAACATTTTATTATTATTATTATATATCATTTATACAGCAACCTTTCTAGATATAGACACAAAGAGTTTCTTTATTCCTGGTCATGGGTCACATGCTTTTAAGTGTTGCTGCTGGTAAACATCGCATGAGTACTCTTGGGTGGAGAGAAGCAATTCAGATAAAGTGCCTATTTGAAGGACAAAAACGAAATGTACAGTGAGGGATTGAAACACCGACCTCCAGGTTGAGAAACCAAACCGTTCCTGCTGCACCAAACCGTTTTTTACAACATATAAAACTATTGTTGTTTTAATTACATTTTTGCTGATTTCATATAAATAAATTGTACAGTATTTGCATTGCCAATTGTTGCTATAAATTAGTTCTGTTCCTACTTAACTGTTCTTATGTAAATAAAATACAGATTGTACTTCATCGTTGCATGAAAACATGCCAAAACCCCAGGGGACAACTTCGCGTTTTTTGTTGTGTCCCCTGAATAGGGTTTCAGGGGACACTCCTAATAAAGGAACACTTTTTTGGTCCCAAATAGGGGTTCTACTGTACGGTATCTGTTTTATAACACACCTAAATAGACCCTTGTTATTTGATATCCAGTTCTTTATAAGGATGTCCCAACCAAGCCTGGTACAATTCCAAACGATTTACGTCAGAACTTGTCTGTTTTTCAGTACTATACAGAATCGCAACCGTCCAAAAGATTGCTTATTTCTTCGTCTGTTATCAAACAAAACGCAACATCAATCCAATTACTAAAAATTTAAGAGCCAACTCAGATTTTGCTGCAAAAAATAGACATTCCTAGCATTATCAGTGCAAATTTGAGCTATTTTTAAAGGTATCATCAAAGATACTAGAAACACAAGATAGAGTTCTCCACAAAAAAAAAGTGTTCCACCGAAATGCATGGTGGAAATACAAACAATGGGACGCCCCTAACGGCTGGATCTAAAAAAAAACTTCAACCAAACTTTCGTTACCAAGTCGTCGCGTATTTTATTGTCAATTCTCAATTAAAAAATTGTACACAATTGTGCAATTAGTACAATTGTACCCAGACAGTGACAACTGTGAATACATAATTCCTTTGCGGAGGTAGAAATCGTTGCTATCATCCAAATAAAACACAATTAAGCCTATGGATCAGTATAGAAAACAACAATATGGCGCAAAATCGTATGGCCGGACGCACTCTAGTGATAAAGTTTTCCTCCATTAGTGGAAAAAGAAGGGCGCCGTGTGCGTCTGGATATACTTTAGCAACAGAAGGGTGGCCTGTACGCGATTTTTTTCCCGTACGAAACATTTGCATGAAACTCCACTCGGGCCGTCTCGGATTGATTCGACTCGAGTTCGATATACGAACAAGAGCAGGCACTTCGCAATGTCGTGACGCTCGAGTACAGTATAACTGTATTGTTCTTTATTTACCTACGGCAGGCCTATAAAATCGTACCGATTTATGGGATGTACAGTAGGCTAGGTCTGTAACTAACTGTGAGCTTCTTGTATGTTTGTTATCAAATTTACTACAACAACAGCTAGTACCTTCTTCTATAGTAGTACCAGTGGTAAATAGGTACATCTATCAAAGATAGATCGTTAATTTTCGGTTGCAGTATGAGCTCATCGTCATTAAAAACGATTTGTTGCGCGCGCACGCCATTGCGTTTGTGTCGTGTCATGCGACAACCGTCGTGCGCAGTGAGTGCTCAGATTCTACGTATTAAATCGCCGATGCATTGTACAACGCTGAAGTTTTTCATGGATTTTAAATCTTCCGGAAAAGTCTTTGTTTTTGAGGCACCGTGCAAATGGTGCATGGTGGAACTTAATTTTCATAATGACGAAAAAATGGGGTAAATAACCGATTTTTCATGGTACGAAATCCAGCAATCAAATGACACGTATTTATTTAGGTATTATCCAGGGAGATGTACATCTCCTTTGTATTACACAATATTTTACATTATCAAAGTAATGTGTTGAAAGATAAACAAGTATTAGGCTTAAATTTTGTCATTTTCGATTTTTTTTTTTTTTTTTTTTTTTTTTCAGAACTCATTCTCAGAAGTCAAAAGAAAGTTGCAGCTATATGTCAGAACATAAAGGGAATTTTCACATAAAACTGAATTCTGAAATAAAGTTTGAACCTGGTTAGTTCTATATTATGAACCAAATTAACATCAGTATTTACCTGGACGTTTCGAACACAATCGGCGATCTTTTTCGACTCGATGTGTTACTTCAGTCTGGCTATGATGTCATCAGTCTGATGATGATGCTGACATCAGTAGTCGATTGAATAAGATCGCTGATTGTGATCGAAACATTCAGGTAAGTACTGAATGGTTCCCTGAATCATGATTCAGCTATTAGGACACTCCTAATAAAGGGACACCGTCTTTTTTAGGTCCCAAAGCTATCCCTTAATAGGCATTATTAATCAGGTTAAGACCATTACAGTAAGCCTGTTTTTAACATGAGGCATAATAGTCTGTGTAGTGTATTACACTACTATTATATAGTATATCATTTCCAGTAAAATATGGACAAGTATAAATTAAATTTATACTAATCTAAGTATATTATACGTTGCATGACATAACGACGGGGTGGGGGCCCTGTGGGTTTCTGAGAGTGGGCCATTTTTTTGCTTTTTTTAAATCATGTTTGTCATTACATTGTAAATGTAATATAAGATAATTGATATGATATCAGTGACAGATCCAGGGATTTTAAATAGAGGAGCCCTAGGAGGGACTTTCATTGATGGTGGCGGATCAATACCACCTCAGCCCCACCATGGTCGGTGCTGACGTAAAAACATTTATGATTACTGCGCCTCTAAATGGCCGCAAAGTAAACAATTTAGGGGTCCCTTTAATTAGCCAGTCACTGTCACATTATGCTGTATCAACAAAGCCTTTTGGGTTAGGCTGATTGATTGAGGACCATACAGTATGTGGTCAGGGGCCCCTTCGGGGGTTGGGACTGATGTGAGCACCTCTTATAAATGCCCTGAAATGACCAGGGCTCTTCCACAGAATTTTTTTCTCCCCTCCCCTAGGCAAAAATGACGGTACCAGCAGGGGGAAAGAAAAATAGGCCTAGTTTTTCCATCCCAGCCATTTCCATCCACCAAGAAGTCCCCAAAAAAATCTCATTTTGGGAGGAGGGGACACCCCCTTCCATACCCACCCCGACTCGGGCCTTAGGCCCTCGGATAACGCTGCACGCTATAGTCTGTTCTATGCTAGGAGGCTCACGCTCTAAACTTACAACCCACACCTTTCGATAGGGGATTTGTGAGAGGTGAACCCTAGGTCCGGATCAATCATGGTTCACATATTAAAGGCTAAGAGACATCATATATTTACTTTACCTTATTAATGGCTGGAAAACCCATCTTTTGTGAAATAGTCGGTCTAAACTATGTGACCTGTTTCTGTCATGCAAGATGGGTAAAACTGCGCAATGATTACATATCTATACCTTGCCTAATTAACTGATGTTCCATTGTATTTAGTAGGTAGTTTCGTTCACAGCTCTGAAGAAAGTCCGGACGGTTATAGTTTCTTGAAAAATGATTTGCTAATAATTCCATCAAGAAAATTACACCCTAAAGTTTTTACAGCAAATTTAAATAAAGAATACAGTAGATGTACCATTGATGGAAAAAAATACAAGGAAACTATGAATTTGACAGTTTAAATCGACGTTCCGCAAACTATGGTCCACGGCCTAAATTTGGGCCGCGAAACATTTTTGGAGGGCCGCGAAGCCGTCTGGAAATTGAAAAAAAATAACAAAGAGACCGTCATCATGGACAGAGTTTTTAATAAAGCCGCATCATTGTTACAGCGAATACGTCGCTTGCACACGCTGCTAAAGTGTCATATGATGCGTGCCATTTGAGTTATAAGCGGTTTTTCTGTCTATGAAAAGTCGAGGACCAATATTCTCAAAAGCACGGTCTTTAAATTTTTACCACCTGATCGCAGTTCTTTAACAGATTTCACCTTTGCCAAAAACTGAAATCCCGATCGAAGGTTTCGTTTTGGAGCGTGCCATTCAATTAGTTCAGATAAATATTGTGGTGCTACACCATGTAGAGATTTATAAACCATTATTAGCAATTTAAATTCAATCCTTTGTGGAGTAGGTAACCAATGAAGTCCAATGTATACGTCAGTGATATGATCGTATTTACGTGTTCTTGTTACAAGCCTGCAGCCGCATTCTGGACACGAATAAGTGGGTTTAAGTTTATATGCTGGAAGTCCAGCAAGCAATGAATTACAGTTATCTAATCTAGACGAAATAAACGCATGAACTAGTTTTTCATATCAGACTGAGAAAGCGATTTCCGTATACGGCTATACTTCTAAGATGAGTAGGACGACCTGCAAATATTGGAAATGTGATTGGTCACAGAAAGTTTTGAATCAATCACAACCCCAAGGTTTCGAGCACAAGGTGACGATATCTCAATTAAATCGTCACCAATCTTAATTTCATTAATTGAACTTAAATTGTTATGAAATTGATGAGCATTAAAAACTCGGTCTTCGGAGAATTTAAGTGCAAGAAGTTACAAGTCATCCAGTTCTTAATATCAGATAAACAATTTTCAACACATTTAGCCAGATCATGATCTTTGTTAGAGCACGAGCACGGAAGACATCAGCGTTAATCGTGAGCGGTGCATATTTGTCAAAAGTTTGTGAGACTGTAGCATTGTATTGAACATCTTTAATTTAGTTGCAGTATCTAGGCCTACTTGAAATAATATTGTTTTCCAACTCTTAGATGAAAGCAGATCGGATGCAAAATTATCAATTTCAAAACTCTTAAGACTGCGATAGGTAATTTTTCTGCGATTTACACTCTTAAAATTCAAGTGTTAAAAATAACGCTTTAGGTGTTATATATAACACTTAGCAAGTGTCTCTACAGGGACAACACCGTAAGTGTTGTTTCCACTCTCAACAAAGTGTTACATATTTAATACTTATGAAAGTGTAGGATCTTTAACACTGTGGTGTTCATTTGACACTTTATAAGAGTGTAATTAACACTTAAAGTTTTGTAACTTAATTAAAGTGTTGCAGATCTAAAACTTAATTAGTGTTGATTTTACACTTCATAAGTGTTTAATTAACATTTAAAGTGTTGTAAATTAAATACAGTGTAACAGATCTAACATGTTATCAGTGTAGATTTTACACTTCATTATAAGAGTGTAATTAACGTTTCGTACAGACCCTTCCTGATGAAAACAATGTTTAAAAAAGATTGGGTAATGGTCGTAGACTGCTAAGGCAGGATGAACTTCCAT